AACAATGATGCTGGGGCACGGTTCAATCACCGGCTTAATAAATCAGTTTTGGAAAGTATACAAGAGAATAACAGAAACTGGGGAAGGCTCCCGGGGCGAGTACAAATATGCATCCAGATGTATTTTCGACAAGATAACTGGAATCGTCATTTCCGGCTCATTCATCGTCATCAGTCAGCCGCGTCCCGATGCCAGGTGGACGCCTGAAATTCTAAACCGAGTCACCTAGTCAAAGAACATGTCTACTAATAGAAGCGAAGAGACGAGTCCCAGGAAGCAGTCTTGAAGAAGGAGACACGATCGCTGGGACAGGAGCTTTACTAATCGGACGTTTCGGATTCCTGCACGAATCCATCATCAGAGACAAAAGCAGGTACGGGTGGTTCATGCATAAGGGGTTGCAGTATTTATAGGATGCAGTCGTCATGTTGCCGCACGCCTGTACATATTCACGGTCCCCCCCCCCCCTTCATCAGGGATCGTTGCACGTGGTGTGATGGCCGACATTCGCGTCGTTAAGTACTGCAATCTGATCACGTGCGTCGGGCGTTGGTGCGATGATTGCTCGACCATTTGATCCATTGACCCAGATGTTGGGAAACGTGTTCACCTGTGCGCCCCCGCGCAGCCAATTACTCCGCCTAGGCGAAGTCTCAGGACTGAGTATGGAATGGGAAGATCATCGCACTTGTTAATGGACTGGGGGCCAGTAAACCACGACTCAAGCAGCTTCCGGCTCACGCAGTTGTCACCTCTTGCGAGAATTTCGACCTCGTCAAATTTGAATGTGTGGTCGGATCTCGTCGAATGAGCCGCAACTTGAGAGTTAGAGTCAATTATCCGCACTGCTGCAGCGTGTTCGACCATTCGCGTTCGGAGCTGGCTCCCAATTTCTCCGACGTAGTTGAGTTGTCCGCAACTACACCAGATCCGATAAACGACTCCAGACGTTTCTTCCCGCGACAGTGGGTCTTTCGGTTTCATTACCTGACGCCTGATGGTTGCCTCCGGTCTGTGTGCCACTCCAACCCCAAGTGGTGCGAGAATGCGGCCGACAGCCTCCGAAACGTTCTCGACATATGGAAGCGCTCGCCAACATTTGGTGTCTGTGCGGTTAGGCCTTTCGTCCATTTTGCGTATGCACCGGTTTGCGAAGTTGCGCGGGCAGCCATTGGCTTTGAAGACCCGTCGGTGTTATTGTAGTTCACTAATCTTGTCTTCCGGCTCACTGCAGTGCGTTTCGACACGCCGATAGAGCGTCCTTACACAACTGCGTTTGTGGCTGATTGGGTTTTTGCTGTTTAAATTCAGTACTTGGATCGTATTTGTCGCTTTTCCTGTTCGAGCAGGAATCCGAAACAGTCTTTGAAAGCCGATACGCACGTAGAGGGTACCGGGCCACAATGAGTTCGTTTAGCAACATCGGCCGAGGAATGATATGGGTCCACGAAGCACATGCCCCGCAGATATTTTTATGGCACCCGCCCCATGTTTTGAAGCGTCGGAAAGTTCACATGCCTGGACTGGACCATCCCCATCTCCTGAAACGACTGTCGAGGTGCAACACCCCATATCACACGTAGTACCCTGTGCAGGAAGGTTGCTCTACAATAGGCAAGCAAATATTTCCCAAAAGCTGGACACTTCGTAGGAGATCCGGTGTACCGCTAAATCCAGCTGAGGTTTAAATGACGTGTTTTTAGTCAAAAGTGGACTGAAAACTATTTACGAGCGTAAACCGGGTCTGCGCTCGCTCGTGGACTAAAACACAACTGTCTGCGTTACTTAGTCAGAGTGTGGACAAAGCAGACGCCCCGAGCACCTTTCCCAGGGAGTCACTTGGGAACAAAGTCGACAGTAATGCGGACAAGTACGAAGTGTGAGCATGGAATCCACCGGACACGGGCGAATTCCCTGCATTGCGGAAGTGCTAGAAACAAACTTGGTTCACGCGGGACCTCAAAAGATACTCCAGCGTTCCTAAACACTATTCATGCATAAAGTCTACTGAAACCACTGGGAGAAGTGTAACGTCAGTAGTCAGTTCCGCAATCGGGTCAGAGAAGTGAGTGTCACCCCTACGAAGCCTTTGACGTCAGGCCTACTGGTCCGTATTCAGATGTTGAGTTCGCCCGATCAGAAAGTGGAGAGAGGTCGCCCGATGATGGCGAATAGGTCCGAAGTGATTGCCCCCCGAGTTACTATGTGATCGTCTGGAGCTCAGAGACTTGACGCAAAACCCCTATTTAGTCTTGTCACCCGGCCGTGAACGTGCTTGTCAATGCTGAGGAGGAGGAGGAGGGAGGAGGGAGGAGGGAGGAGGAGGAGGAGGAGGAGGAGGAGGAGGAGGAGGAGGAGGCTGTAACCACTTTCATCATTCGTTAGAGGAAATGGCATCGTCAAACACGCTGACAACACTGCACAGCCCCCTTAGTAACTGGCGAATCCGGTCCCTATGGCTGTGTCCGACTCCCGACTGGCTGTCAACAGATGGGCCAGCGGCCATGACCCCGCGCCAATGACATGCAAGCAAAGTCCGCAATACTAAAAGGACAACTAGCAGTTAGTAGACAGTTAAATAAGGACGCGCGCGAAGTCATGCGGATAGTGTGTCGGCACCAAATTAAAAATAAGGGCCTCAGGGTACAAAATCAAATAATGGTGCGGGGCCTGAGCGTACACAGGCGCTGGCCGACCAGATGTGACAGCGCAAGGCCTGACAGTGGAAGATTAAGGGTGTGCAAGCAGTTGATGAGACAAATGACGATTGGGGTTGCAGGAGTCCACGCAAATGGGGGGGAAGGACAGCTGTAGTTGAATAGGGGGAGGGGAGTGTTAGACCGCATTCGGGCGGGGACAGTCGTCACAATGTGCGGGGAACAGCGGAATGAGCGGCAGAACGGTACGCAGGTTGGCATCGCGTTGAAGCGGGATGTGCTTTGCCGACGGACTGGTAGTCGTCCAATGCTCCTCCTTTGGCGGGGTTTTGACAGCCACGGCAAAGCCCAACCTCTTGTTGCCGTAGTCAAAGATGGTGTAGTACTTGCCAAGGAATATATCACCAAGAATCCAGAGCTCGTGACCCGGGATGTCCAAACCCATGAAGCCGAGGAGGCAGATGTCGTGACCAAACTGATTTATCTGAAAAAAAAGAGACAATCTGCTCTAATTTTCCGAAAAGGAATATGAAGAGGACGCTCGGGGAAAGAGCGAGTGAGCATCAGATGACAAAAACTAGTAAGGATCAGTCCAGGAGCAGCGAAATGACCGCGCCACGAGCTTATATCGTCCATTTTTTCCATCTTTCGGATGGAAACGATTTTTTAGATGACCTTGCAGTATCGGTGGCTATCGACGAGTCGCTTCTGCCGGTGTGAAGATTGTTTATAACTGCTGTTTGAAAACTGGGCCTTAAGGGAATACCTGTGGTCTCAGTATGACAAATCAAACATGTGCATACTGCTGGTTGGCTGTAGTCAGGTTATGAATACTACGTGGTTATCTCGCTGAAGCTGATGGGTTTCGACTCAAATATTCCTGTTGGCGTGATAAATGTCTGGGCTTCTAGCTAGTACCTGTGTTGACCAGTTCCTTCGTTGTGTCGAGGTGGCCCTTAGACCCCCGTCATTGGATGAATCAAGCTCACCCAGATCCGCTGCAGCCGATTGCCGCGTGCACAGTCCTACCAGGCACAAGATGACATCAGAACGGCAGAAGCCAGATGCAGCCATCATCTCGTGAACAGACACGAACATAGGCAGGGTATCGTTGTCAATATGCCCGGTCGCAACCGACGGGACAACAGACCTGTTGGACTTCTAACCAACAGGCCGTGAGTTCGAGCCTCGAGGGTTGGGTATGGTCGGTTGATGATGGCTAACGAGCCAGCAGTGATCGCTCATCCTTGTCGGTAATGCTATACCACTATTATGCATAATGTACCCTAAACAACGGGACGAGTTCCGTAACCCGATCGGTGCGCGCTCCTCTACCATTGTTAAGACATGTACATGGTCCATCAACCAAATGAGCTACACCAAACGAGTCCGGCTGGACAGAACTCGCAAGCCGTGCAGCAAGCTTCGTTGACGAAGAATCCCTAAAAAAACAGGTAATTATTTTCCCTCCAGTGTCCAAAGTCCGCAAGGCGATCTGTGTGCGCCTCTCTACCATTGTTAATATACCTGATCACAGCCAACAGGACAACGAGCCCGTGGCCCAATGGTTATGACGTTGGATTTCTAACCAAAAGGTTGAGAGTTCGAGTTTCCGAGGTTGCTACCTCGGGGTTGGTCACCACTGGCTGATGACGGCTAACAATTCAGAAATGGCCATTCCAGTCTCCCTTAGACACCCGTCATTGTACGTCAGCAGATGGAAAAGGGATGAATCGAGCTCACCCAGATCCGCTGCAGCCGATTGGCGCGTGAGCAGTCCTACCAGACAAAAGATAGCATCAGAAAGGCAGAAGTCAGACGTAGTCATCACCAGGTAGACAGACAGGTACATAGGCAGAGTACCATTGTTAATATACCCGATCACAACCGACAGGACAACGGACCTGTCGGACGTCTAACCAACAGACTATGAGTTCGAGCCTCGGAGTTTGGCATGACCGGCTGATGGTGGCTAACAAGTCAGCAGTGACCGCTCAAGTTTAACTTATCTTTGTCGGTAATGCTATACCACTATTAAGTATAATGTACCCTAAACAACGGGACGAGTGAGTTCCGTAATCCGATCGGTGCGCGCCCCCCTAGCATACATACGACAGTTCGACCGTCGATTTCGACGATGACCACCGTGTGCCCCACAGACTGCATTGTGGGAGCAGGGACGGTGACTTACGCAGGGGTTTATAGTGCCAGTAGACTTGCGTAGCATCTACCTACACTCTCTCCTCCGCCCCCGCCTGGGCCCGGTGTCAAGACAGAGTCAAGAAGACCGGAGACGAAGGAGGCCGCAGGTGGATGGCTCGAACGGATCCTCGCCTTGGCGCTCCACTCCGCACCCCCTGGTCCACACACAAATGACCAGGATTTTGACCACAAAACAATGGGGTGGTGGCAGTGGTCCAGTTGTTCGACGAATGCCGACAACAGGGTCCGCCAGCGCACCCCGGGAAGGTTGGCATTTGTTATTGCGCACATATAACGCCTGCCGGAGTCCGATGTGGCCCCCGTGTTGGTCCAGCGCATCTAACACGTGGCCCGTTCTGAGGGCACAGCATACACACACATGGTCAATCAACCGAGTGACCTACACCAAACGAGTCCGGCTGGACGGAACTCGCAAGTTGAGGAAGAACCCCCAAAACACAGGAAATTGTTTCCTCTCCAGTGATGCTCTTGTGTTATTCCCTCAACAGGCCATCGCTTATACCTTAAGGGGTTTTTTGGACGATTTTGTAACGGGAGGTATGAGCAAAAAAAAGGCGACCTAACGACTGAAGCCTCATACCTGTCAGACACAACCTCTCAGAGGACGGTGCACATTCAAATTACTTTTTGCAGGTTTTGTGGAAAAAAAGGGACTTTACGAGCCTCAAGGGATTCAGAACAGGCGGTTGCTGCATGGAAGACAGGGGCAAGAAACCCACCTTTATGACATACTCCTCACCCGTCAGGACAAAATCTCTGCCCTCAAAAGTTACTGTCACGTTGGGCAGATTGGGGATGGAATCGCAGGGGACGAGGAATGTGCCGCCCGGCAGAGCCTTGGCA